GAGAAAATGGCTTGAAGCACCGCCTTGTCTGATAGATGTGGCTCTGTATTGTAAGCAGGCTAAGCTGGTAATTCCGTTTTCAAGTCAATAACCGAAGAGTTTGAAGTTGACAAGGTAAGACTCGCGACGATGCTGCGCGAGTCTTAAGACCCCTCGGTAGCAGCTGTCTAGCCCGCTGTAAAGATAGGTAAGAAATTGAAGGTTCTAGATGCGATAGAATCTGCCCAAGAGGCACTAAAACTGAAAGAAGTCATTGGGTACACACAAACCGACCGACGTGGTTTAGGGCACTAGAAAGTCAGTTGGTGGTCTAAGACTTGGGTCCAAAAAGCAGCCCAGCAGTCGCAGCAAGGCCAGTGGATCTGCGTCGAAAGCGCCTTGCCACGAATATTCACAGGGGTGAAATCCAGCGAATGGTCCGGCTGAGGTTCGTTGTGAGATCTGCACACGGTGTGTTACCGTCTGCACATATTTCTGCATACCAGTCAGTCACTTTGTCTACAGTTGCCCGTCGCTCGTGGGCTATCCGTCGCCTATCTCCCCCATGTCTATATGCAAGAACATAATCGGCAAATATCAATATTCTTTCAACACCTGGTAATTCAAGTTTTGCAGTCTTGCTAGTATACACATTAAAGAGCACTAGTGAAATTGCAGAACTCTGAAGAATTGAAGCTAACGATAATGTAACATTTTAAATGTAGAAACTAGAATAAATAAGTAACAAAACAAGGAGTTGACATGCTAATCCTACGAACAGAAGTAATACTATAATCTAGAAGAAAGCTACAGACATACATTCGATTCATGCAATCCCCACAACACTGCACTGGCTTGTGAGAACAGTTAGGAGGAAGTTCCTACCTGGCTTTCACTGTTACAGCAATGGACTGTGATTTCAATACCTCCCGATAGTACAGTGAAACTCTATAGTCTGGAAAGACGATGAGATGCCAACAGCATACAATTGATTAAAGAATAAAAGTTTTAATGTAATTTAATTGCAACAAGGCAACACAGGGTTAGTCATTATCAAGTGCCTTGTCGATTGGCCTGGACAATCATGCTTCTCACAATCTGCTATCCGCAACTGTGTGTATCAGTTCGTATGCTGACACCCCTCCATGTCATGACAAAAGGCTGTCAAGAATGTTCACATGCTGTCTTCCTCTGTCTCTCTTTTCGCAGATCTTTCCACTAATTTTTCACAGCGCATTATAAAGAGCTCATATAAAATCCCAGCATAGCCTTTTATCTTCTCAATCGAGCGCAATGTAACTTTAGGTAGAAGGGAGAGGGAGAAGAGAATAAGAATACGGAAAACCAAAAAGAAGAAGAAGAAGAAAAATAAGAAGAAAAGGAAGAAAGAGGAAGAAGAAGATGATGATGATGATAATGATGAGGATGGTGATGATAAAGCAGCAAAACCAGTATTGTTAACACGGTGACGTACACATAGCTAAGAAATATTTTGGCTTACATGTCATGGTGACGGAACGGCACCCCTTTGGGCGAACTTCCGGAGTTCGGGATTAAAAGAACTGGATTTTGTTGTTTACAACTTTGACTTCCTTTGCTTGACCGAAGCAACTTTATCATTCTGTTAGTATTGCTGATTATTCACACATCCAGAGAAACAGGTGATAAACATATTATAAAATGGCGTAAAGTTTTCCTTTTCTCTCTCCACTCTTGGCCACACCCGTCACAATGAATGTCTCCTGCTTAGTCTTATTTATATTTTTAATTAAAAAAAAAAAAAATTTCCCGTTTCCCAACCAACCAATGGCTTCTTAACCCTTTTAGCACGGGAAGTTTTTCAGAGGTCTAGCCAAAAACACGGAGCATTTTTTCAGTGAATTTGGTTATTACTTTATTTAATTTTTTTGACAGATTTCTGTTATTCTGACCCCTATGAAATAATATATCTATTTGAAGGATATAGATTGAAGTTCGTGATTTTCACAATATCGTTAAAATTAATTGATGTATATGCAAATTATCTCATTTGCATATCTAAAAATAGAAAATTTTAATTTGAATTTTCAACTTCAATGCTTGAAACATAAAACTAAAAACAAAAATTTTTTTTATTTGAAATCTTTTTATTGATCTTTGGCCTTTTTACAAATGTTGTAAGCAATTCAATAGTCAAAAACAGGTATATATGTGTGAAACAGCAATAATATCTTTAGGTGACATGTGTTTTTCACCATCAGTCAGCACTATAAATGGATGTGCCGGAGTGTCAACACCTTCGGGTGGATATACCCTGAGCCATGGTTGGGCTGTGGTCTGAACACAACAGCGTCCCCATCTGATTCCCACTATAACTACTAACACTAAATCCTGCATCAGTATCAACAGAATTAGTGTCAACACTTGATTCAAATGTTTTATCAACATCAAGTTTAGGGGCAGAAACATACGAGTCAGACATACTTTTAGCGGTTCAGGTCACTATCTAAAAAATTCAACAACAATTTTCACTTCGATACCAAACACTCGAAAGTCGCCATGTGTAAAGCTGATACCGCAGTTAATATAAATGAATCACTTTCAGTGTTTCAAAGTAGGAGATTTCTTAGCGGTTCGAGGCGAAACACGATCGGGCCGATCATCGGCCGTTCCGTGTTTTTGGCAAGACATCCGCCGGCCGATAATCGGCCCATCCGTGCTAAGAGGGTTAATTTGGACGCAAATCCAGATAGTAGCACTTCGATGACCCTAACACTGACAAACCGCAGAGACACTAAGATACTAATACAAGCAGAAAAATTTATCAGCATGCCTGAAAACTCTATGAAATCAAAGAAAGATTCCAAAATCAAGCATAGGGTGACTAAAGAAGCAGTTTCAAATCATCCACCAGGCCCAACGACTCTGCAGTTAAACCACTGATCTGCCTGCAACTGGTAGCCGCTTAAATGCTATTCAAGATCAGACCCTCTGGAGAGAGAATTATGCATTGATTGCCATAAAGAAGTTTGACAAGGATGAACAAAACAGTTTGCAGGCACAGCCACCCTCAGTCTACTTGATTATGGATGCCCACAGAATCTTCAGGTTTATGTCTACACAGATGGGTCAGCACAAAATGCAAGCAGAAATTGAGGATCAGGAGTGTACATTGAGCATTCAAATAATATAAGTTATGCAGCCAAAATACTAGCATTATAGCAGCATAGAAACTGCTAAATATATGTCATATTTTACTACCTGTGGTACTCGTAACAGATGTAACAGTGGTACCTCAGGCACTTGATTTTGAAAAATTGCCTGGTATACGGAAACTACTCTCCAAATTAGGCGACTGATGCAAGGTAACTAACTATGCAGTGAATACCATCTCACTGTGGAGTTCCTAGAAATAAAAGAGCTGATAAATTAGCTAAGAAAGGTGCAACTGAAGAACAACCTGACGTAACAGTCTCTTATTAACAAAAGAAGAAAATAATAAAATAAATCAGAAAGCCACTAAAACTGGCAAAAGACGATTACCATATAATGGACAGACCAGAGCAAGTCATTATTTCACACTTTCAAACAGGACACAGTTGACTGCAGCCACCTGTAAAGAAAATTTAAGATTGGCGAATCAGCCATGTCTACATGTGGATTAACACTTGAGACAACAGATCACGTCCTCATGACAGTCACAAATATGACATATCAAGGCTAAACCTTTGGCCAAGAGAAACACCGGTGCAAGCCAAACTTTACGGGTCGCTGATTGAATTACAACAGACGATGACGTTCATATTAGAGACGATATTGCAGATATAGAAAATCTATTTCGAGCGAATAAAAGAAGAACTAATATTTAAAAAATCAGTAAAGTTTTTGATGTAATAATTACAATGCAGTAAAAGTTGGTTAAAAATTATTGCCCTATTTTTCCTGTGTGAGTTCTCAGTTCCAGGTCCCTATTTTGGGGAGAGAAAAAGCAGACTGCCCCCACCCTACCCTTACAAAAATGTGGTAAAATGCGACTGCTCATAGATGTTTCCTTCAAGTCATAGTGCATCTGCCTGAGAGACGAGAAACCTTGTTTACATTCACTGGCTGTAAACTCTGCCGGAAGATATGGTTCATCCACTTCTGGACTTTAGTATTGTTCCAGAACTTTAGTGTGCATATCAGTTTTACAGATCTAGCTTATTTTTGTGCTGACTGTTTGTTTCTTGCCTCCTAGGCAGATGCACTCCGACTTCATAAAAAAATATCCTACACTTATGACATGCTAGACGGGGGCAATGTTATTCTTTTTCTCTACAAGGGGATCCAGAAACATGAGGAACCAAAAGTCTGCACTAAAGTAAGCCAGATGTGTAATTTGGATGTTCACTTAAAACTCAAGTTATAAAACAAGACCACAGTCCCGAAGTGAACGAAAAGTAATAACTTTCTGATGAATGCTATGAAGAAGGAGGAGGAGAATGCCCTGTTTGTCTACTTTGTTATAAGATCAGAAACGTAGACGGTGAACAATAGCCATTGTGGAGCTTTGCCTTGCTAGTTTGCAATGTTTTAAATTGCTCAAGACATGCCTCACTTTACATTAGTCTGTTAAATAATTGGTAATTAAGATATCTTTTTTAATTACTTTAAGGTACAGCTCATGATTCTCACCCCATCTTTTTTAGCCGTATCATTTCGTATTGGTTCCCATGGGCTGTCCTATGTTCTAGGGGTGTCATGTGTTGCTTGTTTTAAACGTTTTAGCTTTTAGCACCCCACAATAAATATTCAAATTATTTCCCTTGCTTCCCACCTTATTTTTTCACATTTCGCGTTTTTTATGGAGGAAACATGGAAAACACAATAACTTTTTGGTTTATGAATAGTTTTGCATAATTATTTAAACTGAAATAAAGAAATGATTTCTGCATACATTGATATGAGTTTTGTTGGTGTATGTTTGATAGGTGATGTGTGAGGACAGAGTGAAATGGGAAAAATGTAAAAAAAAAAAAAGTACAAACATAAAGACTCACCAATTAGTCATGCAGCTCCTCACAGCAATCAATCTTGTAATTCACAAGAGAATGGTATCTCCCAAAACAGGGATGAGGGCACAAACTAACATGGCAAGTGGCACAGACATATGTCGTTTGGTGACGCTTTTTATGTCTGTCTGAGCACACCGCACAGTCACCAAGTGCATGTTTGCCAGTCTTCAATCGCTTTGGATTGAGAGCAGGATAGTGTGAAGCCGATATCCTAGCAGGTGGATCGCTGGCTCTTCTATCATGGAAGCTGCTGCTGGCCCTAGGCTGGTTCAAAGCAAGAAGCCCACGAGCAATCTGCACACGGAATTTCTCCGCCTTGACTCGGCCAGGATATTTGGCCCTCCACAGGACAAGCGAGTTCACAAAACAAGCTTTTTTCCACCACTTGCAGGTCCTGTGGGCTAACAAATAGCATGTTAGTTGCTTGTCAAGACGGTCCACACCTCCCATATGACGAGTATAGGACTCTACAGCACATGGCTTAGTCACGACCCGCACATTGGCAGCATGATGTTTGGATCGGACATGATTCTCAAAGGTGTTGTCATCGTGTGCAGTTGTTATCAAATTGAGAGGCCTCTTGTCACACCATGAAATGTAGAGGAGGTTATCATCTCTTGCAGTGATGGGGTGTTCACCAGCCTTAGGTTTTGCAGCCTTGACAGCCGCGGGTACTCCTCTGCGATTAGATCGCAGTGTGCCACAAGCGCCCGTCTGATTTACGGCAAGCTCCTTGAAAAGGACTGGAGAGGAAAAGAAATTGTCTATGTTCACAACATGACCCTTTCCATACAGAGGGGCAACCAAGGAAGTCACAACTCTATGTGCCAAACCTTGGGTAGGGTCATGGGTGTCTTCCTTCCCAAGGTACAGCTGCCAATTCCAGAGGTAGCCCGTCTTGGAGTCAGCCAGCGCCCAAGCCTTCATACCCCACTTAGAGGGTTTCAGTGGCATGTACTGCATAAGATTAGTCCTGCCCTTGAAAGCTATCATGCTTTCATCAACACTGAGTTCCTTAGAGGGAGTGAAATGCCTCTGGAACAGAGGAAGAAGAGCATCAACAAATGGTCTAATCTTGAAAGCTTTGCTATACCCAGGGTTCCCTCGTGGTACAGCAGTTGTGTTGTCCACGAGGTGCAGGAAAGACAGGATAGCCTGAAACCTGTTCCTACTAATAATCTTTCTGAACCCAGGCATCTCTAGCAGACTTTCAGTAGTCCAATATAAGTCATATGAGGAACGAGGTGCAAGTCCCATAACGAGTGTCACAGCAATAAATGATCTCATATCATCAGCTGTGACTTCCTTCCACTTCTTGAAAGAATGGGACAAACTAGCGTCTGCCCCCTTCTTGGCCCTAACCTGCCCCTGGTAACGGTTAGTCTCGGTCACCAACATTTTCAGTATATCATCTGTAATAAACAGACGAAACATGTCGACCTCACTAATATTATCAGGTAGGCCTATAAGTCCCACAACTTCAGAGAAGTCGCGAAGCCAAGAATGGTTGTAACCAGAGGGAGCACGACCACTTACTACCTCGTCTTCCTCATCCGAAAAATCTGACACACTGGAAACAGAACTACCTTCACTTACGTCTCCAGACATATCAACTTGGCGACTGATATCGGCTGCAGTAACACCCAAAATCTCATCGTCAGAGTCAGAATCCATGAAGATTTCAGAATAAATGGCTTCCATTTCGAAGGATGGTGATGGATATCGAACTGGCTCAGAAAAATTGATCACACAAACCTACTCTCGGCCTCCTAGCAATCAAAACAGACAAAGAGGAAGTGAAACCACTCTAGAATAGTTATTTATAGTTTTCAAGTGACGTCACACGCGTAGCTCCGTTTAGGCTTCGTATTCCCCAACCATATTTAGATGTCGAATATACTCGACTGTGGGACGCTACGAGGTGGGCGGCGGAAGTCCAATATACTCGACTGTGGGGTGCTAAAGGTTAAGCACAGCCACTGGCAGCGAGCATAGAAGTAACAAAAACATCAATGATTTGATACTCAGGAATGGTCACAACTTCGGTACTTCCCCCTGCATTGCTTCTTCCTTGCACACAGTCGCCTGCGGCACCTGAGACCTAATCACAACACATTCCAGTAATGACACTCATTCACAGGAAAGAGGGTTCCGAAAAGAAAGCTACAAAGTTTTGTCTGGGAGAAAGTGTGTTGACCTTGTTGAACGAACCCGAGTAACTTCTCTGCGCGCTGTGTATAGACAGTGAAGGAAGACATCTTATAACACCCCTGCAACAAAGGACAGCTCATGGCAACCAATATGAAATCACACAACCAAACAAGATGGGGTGCGAATTGTGAGTTGTACCTAGTTTAGTTTTTAAACAAAATTCACAATTATATAAATAAATATATATATTTATTTTTTCTTCCACTTATCCAGATCCTTCTTGGACACTCTTACCACATTTAGATAAAAATGAAGTCATGCATTCCTGCAAAAGACAAAGAAGAAGATGAAATGAATCAAGAGGTTCCTCAAAATTTTATCCCGTCAATTCAGCCTCGCAGTGGTGTACCAAACTCCTCGCAGCCATCATCAACACGACAAACTCAAGTGGACTCATCACCAATTTCATGGCAACCAACATCTGGTCCACGTCGAGTCTCACCCCCACCAACAGTGCCTCCACTGCCTTCTTCAAAAGTGAGTGAGCAGCATAACTGGCAAGCCTCAGTGCACACAGTGCGGGAGAGAAATGCGGTGATGTTCAACAATTCTTTGATGGCTGACGTTTTCTTTACAGTTGGAGCTCCAGGACACCAGAGGAGAATTCCTAGTCACAAATATGTCCTTGCCTCAGGAAGCTCTGTCTTCTACGCCATGCTGTATGGGGGGCTAGCAGAAGAATGTAAAGTCATGGAGATCAACATACCAGATGTGGAGCCAGCAGCATTTCTCAATATGCTCAGGTTTGTAATATTCTAAGAAAGAGCATACATGCACATCAACACACATTTTATCATATATTAATGCATATAAACACATACATATGCCCATACATATACTTACCTGTGCACACACAAAGATAGAATTAATTTGATGAATTACATGTGTGTGTGTGTGCGCGTGCGTGCGAGAGAGAGAAAGAGAGAGAGAGAGAGATATGTTAGATGTGGGGTTTTATATCTGTTTAGACTGAAGTGTAGGTAGATATAGATAAAGGAACAGATAGATATTTAAACATAAAATATTAATATGAAACTCCAGATAAGCAGTAAACTCCTACTTTCAGTATGGAATTGCATGTTTTGCATTGTTGTTCATAGACCACATTTTTTAGGTATTGTGTCAGTTGTCTTAACTGAAATCATGTCATTTACTAGTTCAAATATAAAATAGCACGGTGTTGCCACCACTGGATGTTGATTTGTTTGCTGGATCTTTTTTCTTTTGTCATCTTATTGATACCAGGTGGTAGCCCAGTGTCATAGTTTTCTGTACTTGTCTTGTCCTTCTCGTGTGGCTTGAGTGATGGATTTGTTCATCTTTTTGCAGGTTTCAGCTACACCATTTATCCATCTCTTTTGTGATCTTACTCACGCCTTGCTCCCAGAAGTTCTACTGTAGAAAGTCTCATATGCAGTCTGGTCTGGCTGCATTGTCACTGGATGGCTGAACCATTTCATTCTTTGTCTGTCAGTATAACCCAGACATGGTTTTATTCCAACTTTCTCTAAGGCTAGTATTTGTATCCTTGTCTTGTATTGTCATTGACCTTGTGGAGACAGCGCATTTTACATGTGATTTTGTTTTCTTTTCTAGTGCCCTATTCATTGTCCATGTTTGGCACTGATAACAAAAAGTAGGTATATAGATGCTAATAATCATTTGCTGTTTTGGTGGCAGGGAGACATTTGGGTGTCTAAGCAGTGGGGCTAACTGGTAGGTGACAGCATTTGCCTTCTGTACTCTGGCTTCTATCTATCGAGTCAGCCATCCTCTGTAAATATGCTTCCTAGATATTTGAATTCTCGTACTTGTTGACTATAGTACTGTTTTTCTAGATAATATGTAATTAATGCATGTTGAACATACACATTTGCAGCTGACTCATGTACATGGTTTTAGCAACATGAACACACCATAGGCAAATGTGGCCATCCATGTCTTGCATTGAAATACACTGAAGGGACAGGGAGATCCAGGACTGTAGATGTTAGATCCCTAAGGCAATGAAGCAAACCAGCTGTCCTCCTATCAGGGTTGAGTACTTGTACCTATGGGGTGAAAGGGGCACATTCAGGCTGTAAGTCTCTTGACCAGGAATATCATTCTACAGTCAAGACTGTTATGCATAACTGAAGAGGCAGAAGGACCCTCTAATTCAGTTCTGAGTAAGATGGCTACAGGAAGCAAAATAAGCAGCAGACAACAGCCATATTGAAGAGGCAGAAAACAGTGGTTCTAGAGGAGATGGCCTCGACAACACCCCCCTCAAAAAGTCTGTGGTAGAATTATGTACTAGTGGGCTGAATGGCTTTAACGCAAGTGTGGAACATCTGGTTTGTGGAAGGGGCAGTACCAGGCATATGGACTCCTTCAGGTCATCCCCTGCCTCTTCTCTAGCAATACTAGGGTAACTGCTTATTTCCTGCAATGGCATACATTTTTCTATAAATTTTGTGCTTGAAAATGTTGTAAAAATCATCACTGGGACTACAGGGTGTGTGCTCTACATCACACCATCCTCTTTTACTTCCCAAGATTTTACCTGCTACCTGTTTTAGTGTGGCTCTACCTAGGTCACACACTCTATGCAGATTTGAACCCTAGACATTCAGACAAGTATATGGGCATCTAGCTGCTAACTGCAGCTTGCTTGTAAGTAAAGAACATTTTTTTTTTTTCATATTGGAAATTGCAGCATTTCTTTAAACTGTTCTGTTTTACTTTCAGGTATCTGTACTGTGATGAAATATGGGTTGAAGCTGATACAGTTCTGGCAACCCTGTATGCTGCAAAAAAATACATAGTCCCACAGCTGGCTAAAGCCTGTGTCTGTTACTTGGAGACAAGTCTGAGTGCAAAGAATGCATGTGTTCTCCTTAGTCAGGGCAGGTTGTTTGAAGAAGTAGAGCTCATGCAGCGATGTTGGGAAGTTATTGATGCTCAGGCTGAAGAATCTCTGAGATCTGAAGGTTTCACAGAAATTGATAAGAAAACTTTGGAGACCATATTGTCCAGAGAAACACTCAACACACGAGAGCTGAGTCTTTTTGAGGCCGCTTGTCGCTGGGCAGTAGCAGAATGTTGTCGCCAGGATCTCGAACCCTCGGCTGAAAATCAGAGGAAGGTTTTAGGTGATTGTCTTCACTTGGTAAGGTTTCCGGTCATGAGCCTGGAAGAATTTGCCAATAGCCCTGCACAGTCTGGTGTTCTTTCTCTTCGAGAATGCCATGACCTGTTTCTTCATTTCACTGCCAGGCAATCGCCCAAACTTCCTTTTCCAAAAGTCACAAGAAAAGGCCTCTCTCAGTTCAGAGTTCAAAGATTTCAGTCATCAGCCTACCGCAGCAACCAGTGGCGTTACCGTGGAAGATGTGACAGTATCCAGTTCTCTGTCGACAGAAGAATTTTTATTGCTGGCTTTGGTCTGTACGGTTCAAGCAATGCGGCTTCTGAATACAAAGTGAAAATGGAGCTAAAGCGGAGTGGTTATGTCGAGGGCCATTGCATGACATCATTTCTGTCCGACGGCTCAAGCAATACATTTCCCGTCTTCTTTGAGAGCCCGGTGCAGATTGAGGCGGAAACCTTCTACACTGCAAGTGTCGTACTCGATGGAAAAGAACTCAGCTACTTTGGTCAGGAAGGTGTTGCAGAGATTCAGTGTGGCAAAGTTACCTTCCAGTTTCAGTGTTCCTCAGATAGTACGAATGGTACAGGTGTGCAAGGAGGCCAAATACCAGAGTTGATTTTTTACTGCTAGAAATTTATTTACTTCTGCTAGTAATTGATTTGATTTTTCTAGTAATTGTTTTATTTTTCTAGTAATTGATTTTATTAATGATAGTAAGAGATTTTTGTTTAAATTGAAGATAGAAACATAAACTTTCAAATATAAGAGACAACTAAGGAATATTTTTTTTTAATCTCACCAGAAAACATTTTACTACACCATTTATTCAGTTGTTATATTTGCTAACAATTTTTAAAAAAAAAAAAAACTTTTGTTGAAGCAAATCAGCCATACTGCATTTTATGAATGCAGATTTTTGCCTTAATTGGAACTTTGTTTTTCTCTCTTTTTCAGTTTTCATGTATAATTTAACTCTTTGAGTCTAAGCGGGTTTAGCATCAGAGGCCCTAGGGGTGGTAATGCAATGTTTTAATTTCATAAGTGTAGCACATTAGAACAGACCATACTCATTCATTTTCTGTGCAGCATACACATTATACATCAGAGTGACCAGGGATTGTTGGGGAATAATAATAGAATACTGCTACAGCAAACAATTGCGCTAGTAATTAAATATTAGTAAATAAACGTACGGTATATTTACAGAAATTAGTGAAGTAAAATGATAATTTATTTTTACTTATTACCATGGCACTTAAGGAAAACTCGTTAAAATATACCCAGTATGATCACAAATGTTCTTAAGCCACTTAGTAATGTATAGGTAAAATAAAAACTCAAACTGTATATTAGATTTTGTTCCGGATAATCTTTTGAAGCGTCACAACAGCAAAATTATTTGGTAACGAAAATGGACTTCCCAAAACAGTATCTTTACACCAAACGAAGTTTATATAACACTCAATTTACATGTAAATTTGTAGCTTTGTTTCTAAATAATAAGGGGAATAGCACTAGAACTAACTTACACCGAAGACAATCACATTTTCACTAGCATTTATTTGATTTCTGTCAGCTCAATTTGCTGTCATTGTACCTTTTGCGTGAAATGCTCATTAGAGCTATTCCTCATTAAAGCTTGACTCTATAAGTGACTAAAATGTCTAATTCGCAATATTATCTATCCTACTTCGGATAATTCTAAAAAACACGTACTTCATCTAAATCTGAGGCTTCTAAAGCCATAAATCATGTTGGCATGCATGCAGAATCCTGTTCTGTGGCCATATTGTCTTCAAACACTTAGTAACTTGGTAAACCTCGCAAATATACAAAATTGTCAGCTTTTAAACCATGTTTCCAAATAAGCATGACTGATATCAAATACAAAGAACTTTGAGGAAATTTGAAATTGATTGGTCCGCGTTTTATTACCGGTCAGTGGTAAATTAAAAACCTATACTCATCATACGTCGATTTGGCCACTGGGTTGTAACCATTTAGCGTGTGATGCGTTCCCAGGGACTCAAAGAGTTAAGTGTCAGCTTTGTTATTTCTGCCTTTGTATTTTCCAAAACTATATTTCTATAATATGTTATAAGGGGCAAACCGGGGTAAGTGAAATAAAAAAGTTTATAGAAGTTGCTAGTTGTGATTACTAGCTTGCCAGTAAAATAAAACTGCAAAATCTGGCCTCTCGGACTTTGAGTATTAAGTATGGGGTTATTCAAAATGATGGATACACTTTCATTCATGTTTATTTCCGGAAATATACATTACATTTTAATAATATGCAAACGAGAGAGAGAGAGAGGTCGAAAGTTTACAAACTTACAATAGTGGTTATGGGTATTCAATATGGCTGCTGTCTGCTGCTTATTTTGCTTCCTGTAGCCATCTTACTCGGAACTGAATTAGAGGGTCCTTGGTGGCACAAGCATGAGCACTCGGGTGGTTATTTGACGGTGCTGTAGCAGTAGTATTCAAAACTTGAGACCTTCCCATCTCTCTTGTATGTATGTTGTTAATATGTAATGTATAAAGGAAATATACATGAATGAACTGGCACTATTAGTCACAGGACATGAGTTAATATTGAGGGAAAGATCTGATCACCTATGGACATGTCCGGAGTGCAATGATCATATCCTAACTAACTAACTAATAGATGAATGAAAGTATATGCATCGTTTTGAATAGCCCTGTTTATTCATATGTTGGAGAATTTGTATACCTTGGAAGTTGAGTGACACGAAATGGGAACTCTGAAAAGGATGTAACATCAAGAATAAACAAAACAGATCACAGATCAATCATTTGTCATGATTAACAGTATATGGACATCAAAGTGACAACTAAGGAAGAAAACAACTCAGATATAAAGAAGCATCTTACAAATACTATTATACAACAGTGAGTATTCGAAAATGAAAGCAGGAATTGCACATAAACCAGAGGCTTCTCAAAATAAATGTCAGGAATATGTAATCATTGTGACTCAGCAAGATCACAAATGTAACCTAAGAAGGAAAAAAATTTTCATCACTGGTAAACATTATCAAAGGAAGAAGGTGGAGATGGTTTGGGTATGTTTACAGAATTCCCTGTGACATTTTGGCAACAGCAGTGGATGATAGAATGGAAAAGGTAATGCAGAAGTTCTAGTAAACCCAGAGAAGGGCAGTAAAAAGGGAAATGAAGGAATGTAAAATGACATTATAACTTTGGCAGAAGAACAGCAGTGAATATCACTTGTGTATGCCTTAGGTGTCAACAGGGATATAATGAGGATATACTTATGTATATATTGTATATTATACTAACCGTTGTAGATAACAATTGTTTTAGTAAATATGGTGTTTATTATTAATATTTTACAGTGGCAATTTTACTTATAAAGATAAGTATCTTTACTGTTATCTTTTTGCACAGAACTAAATATGTTGGCTAAAATACAGGTTGTCCAGAAATTATCTTCACATCTTTTATCTAAGGGAAAGTCAACTAAAGTTTACACAGATCACTGCAGTTGCCTTTTGTTTGTTTCATTATATTCTTTTTCCAATAACTAGTGGTTGTGCAGAATAGAGGGAGATAAATGGTATGGAAGAGTCACTCATGTTGAGCATCGGAAGAAAACTAAGCAAATTCCATTGAATCAGAAGATGAAGAAAAGATGTTGATGTTGAATAGGACACACGCTGAGAATAGTATAGTTAGAATATCTGTGCACTGGAACACACAGTGGCAAAGAAATAAAGATGGGCCATCTCAACAACAAAAAACACATGTATATTGTCTGTCCATCTTCTTGGATAGACCTTACCAATCATTACCTTATGGGTACCCTGTATGAATTGAACTGTAAACCATCAGGATACTAATTAAAACTGAACTCCATTCCCATGTGGGATGCAATTTTTTGTTGCTTTGAAGCCCCACCCTGGCTTTTTTCTGGGGCCTGAAATATGGCCTAATTGCTGAATGGGGTTTCTGAGACCTCTCCGTGGGTGATCCTCACCTGCATGGTGGCACTTTGTGTCATTGGGTGTTTATCGCTTATGTGATGTCCTGGTGGGGTACACATTACATACATCATGAAACTACTATCTTCTCCTCTAAGGTGTAATGGTAAGTTTTGTTGTTCTCTTATGTAGTCGTGGAAGAAAATGTTACCTTTTGACCATTTTACCCTTACTTCACAATTTCTGCTTTATTTATAGCTGTTTACATAAAATGCATTTTTTTGTGTGTGTTAATTTATATTATGCACCAGTTATACTACATTTCTTATTTTAAAGTGATATAAATTATATATTTAATGTTTGCAACAAATATAGTATAATCTTTGATACATTTTGTAGAATAAATGTGAAGTCAGTTGCGTGAACAATTTCTGATGCTTAAAAGTAGACAATAGTTAAAAACTTAAAACAACATTAACAGGCTCACAGGATGGTATTCCCTGCGAAGGATGGAAACAACGATCACAATTTTAAATCCTTTTTATAAAAAAATTTATACATACATAGGAACAGAGGAGCAGTTACAATGTTAGGCTGTCAAGTAGGAGACCCAGGTTCGACCCTCATTAAGGTGATAGAGGTTTTCTGTCAGGGGCAAAATTAAACATCCTAACCTGCTCAGTCCATGGTTTCAGCACTTGCCATGCAGCCCTAAATCCTCAGGCGCCCAATCACCTGTATACTCTGCTTTACAGAGTGATAAATACAGGCAGTAGTGAGAGTTTAACATCCATAGGAACAGTAGTTAGTTAGTCAACAGATTATCTTCATTGCACATCAAACCGTTAAGTCCATAAATGCTCGGATCCACTCCTTAGTAAATCCGGCAGCCTATATTTTTTTTTCACTTTTGCTTTTAGCCACCTGAACAGGGCAGATGTCATCAATGCTATAAAGCTACGTACGAAGAATCTGACACTAACACTGTTGCATGACTTAGGAGTAAAGTATGGGGAAGCAGGTCTGTGTTGCCTTCAAAGCTGAAATAGGAGCAATTATAATAGCATCTCATGGGAACAACAATTAGTAAAGGTACCTTAGAGTAGCTGCTGCATTGGAAGACAGTACTCATGGGAATGTCCAGTTTGCAGTGATGTTGATTGTCATATCATAACACAGCCACTACTTGCCTGAGTGTGTTGTTTTTTGTAAACATTACACCTTTAGTCAGTTTCTAAATTCATGCTACGCCTCTCAGATGCGTTTTGTCAGAGAAGAAAGGGCCTTTTAAATGTCTGTATAGAGCATTTGACCCTTGATCAGTAATGTCATCAACATCATGCTGGCCACCTTTTTTCCCCTGACATTTTCTTGTATCCATTTTACGCTAGGTTGAACTAGGAATCAAATTCAAATTGAGAAAAATCCATATTGATTTAATTCAAAAAATATGTTTGGATTCAACTTTTCTTTGTGTTGTTTTTGTTGTCTTTGCAAAGAGATGAACCCTTTTTAACATGTTTACATTTTTAGATTCTGTAATAAAGCTGCGTTCATCAGTTACAAATCTTCCCTGTGTGAGTTCTTAGGCCTTATTGTGGGGGAAAAAAAGAACAGACCCGCTGCCTCCCCAACAAGCATGTTGTAAGAGTTGGCCGATTGGGGGGTTTCCTTCAAAGTCTGAGTGCATCTGCCTGAGAGGCAATGAACCAATAGTCTGCATACAGATAAATCAGATCTGTGAAATGGATGTGCATGCAACACTCAGGTTCTGGAACAAGTCTAAAGTCCAGAGGTGGATGACCAACCAGAACTTTCTGCCGGAGTTTAAAGCTGGGGAACGCTAAGATGAAGAATCGTTACATACTTCACATCCCTGTGTGGGTTCTGGGGGAGAATAGACCCACTGCTCCTTCAACGGTAAGTCGTAAAAGATGACTAAGTAGGTGTGTTGGGCTGAAAGACGCAGATATCATAGCCTAGCAGTAAACCACATAACCTGCAAATCACTGGTCTAGATTGGTCTTTAAAAATGTAAACTAGCACCATAGATCAAATACATTTCATGGCATAAAATAGGGTCCATAACTTCATTGTCACTTACTTGGTTATCACAAACTGTCTCATAGAATTTTCCCAAGACATCTTTCATGCAAAAAAAAATCTGAATTTGTAGAGCTATTAAATTTAGATTTGTGCATAATTGTTAGTTTGATTTTTATAGAAGGTAAATGATTTTTTTTTTTCTCAAACATTGTAGTGTTTATTATTTTATCTTACAAGTGACAATCCTAACAATAACAAATAAGCTAAATTTTGAAATTATCAGGGGTTGACCTGTGTAAAATTAACACCTGTGAGATGAGGCGATTGAAGAAAACAGCTTACAACCGTCCAAGAGTGAGTGAGAAAGGATGCTATCTGACAGACTGTAAAGACAATACCTTGCACCAAATTCACTGAGATCTGACAGACTGTAAAGAGAATACCTTGCACCAAATTCACTGAGATCTGACAGACTGTAAAGAGAATACCTTGCACCAAATTCACTGAGATCTGACAGACTGTAAAGAGAATACCTTGCACCAAATTCACTGAGATCTGACAGACTGTAAAGAGAATACCTTGCACCAAATTCACTGAGAAGCAGAAGATGAAATGGTTCAGTCATCTCACTGAAATTTAGCCATAACAATTACTGATACAGGTGTTAATACTGGACTTTCCCAGAAACTCCCATTGAAACCTTGGAGTCCCAGAGATGGGGTGAAATAAAAGAGAGGAACCCATTAAACACATTCTACATCTGCGAGGAAGGACAATAGCCAGGTCTACTATACAGTTCAAGTTCTGGAACAAGTCTAAAGTGAAGAGGTGGACGAACAACCGGAACTTTCTACTGGAGTTAACTGTCAGTGAAAGCGAAGAAAAAGATTTAATGTTAAGAATTAGAAGAAGGGCATAAACTAATCATGCCGTTCTTTAAAGAACAGATTAAATAATTTAGCCACCTGAGGAAAGTACACTGATACCAGTTACTACGGACAACCACATGGAAGAAATATAATTTGTGTATAGCAAGTAGAGGCTCATAAAAAAGATGGGGCGATTATTTAGTAACAACCTTAGAGAAGAGAAAGGAAAAGTTAGACAGCACGTAAAAAAAATCACACAAAAGATTCTTGCACCCAGGGGCTTTTTTTCTTCTGGTGGTACCCAATAGTACAGTCGGTATCTGTGGCTTAGGTGTTGCGAACTTGCTTCATAATGCCGGGGTGCTGGTTTTATCCCAGCTGCGGACGGTTTTTCTTGTGTTGGTTTTGACTATGGTACCAAGAGCTGACCATTCAGAAACAATGGCCAACTACTGAACGTAAAATGTGCCTAGAAAAACAGCCAAAAAACGCTGGGTTTGGTTCTGCAACGTCCTGTAAAGGATAAGCAACTAACTTTAACATAACCCATGGTATGCAGTAATGGCACCTATTTCAAGGTATATTTTCTTCAACACTACTATAACAGACGCTTTGTGGTGAGTATGGGCACCTTATTGTCTAGGGAAAAAAGCCTTGCTTACATCCACTCCCGACCCTCTTTTTACGCAAATACTCAGTGAGGGAATGATTGAAGAGAAGAAGAGGTAGCAATGGAGATCTCATTAGTATTGTTCATAAAGTCAGACATAACATCTTTAGTCCCATTTTGAAGGGGGGGGGGGGGCAGTCAAACAATGAGGCTCTGAGAAGACCAGGAATGCAGAGTTCTTCTCCTTCTTCACAATCCTTTTTTACCGCTTCGGGTGTCAAGGGAGATTTAAGGTCCTGATTTTCTTGTTTGCTTCGACCATAGACACATCATAGGGCTGTAGATTTTCTCTGATATTATCGTCCTATGTTGTTCTTGGTCTGCCTCTTGATCTATGTCCTCCTCTTTTTGTATATGCCTTGAATGGTATAGCATCAGAAGACATTCTCTCGAAGTGGGCAAACCATTTGATTTGTTGCCTTTGTGTGTAATTTAGAACTGGTTCTGTGCCGACTTTATCTCGTATGACCTCATTCCAGATTTTATCTCTCCTGGTCACTCCTACAGTCTTTCTCAGACACCTTATTTCCATGGTTACTAATTTTTGTTTATGTTTTATTGTGAGTGACCACGTCTGGTACTGATAGCATAGCTTTGTCCCATTTACTTTGATGTTGCATTTTGGAGGGTCAGTTTTCTTTGTAATTACCTTTACTTTTTTTTTTTTTTTTTTGCTTTTCAAATTAAGAACCTTATTTTCACTTTCTGTTACAACTATATCCATCATTTCTGGCAGTGGTCAACAGAGCTAATAAAACACCAAGGTCACCAAGTAGTACACGGGAGGGTGGAGGGGGTGGGTATGAAGGGATAAAATATGAAACGAAATAAGTAAGAAGGCTTATGCAAAAAGAGGGGGAGAAATATGAATAGGTTAAATAAATGAACAAGTAAATTGTTATTCTTAATGTTTCTCACCTTAAACAAATCGCAGTTGACCTTTCATTCATGCTTCTTGACTTTTCACACCCGCTGGTCTATGTTACAGGGTGTCACATTCTATTTTCTTCAATGCTTCCACCGGCGATATCCCGTGTTCTTTATTACACCGTCTGGCCGCTTTTACTGACCTCCAGACCACAACTAGAACTGGCCCAAATCCCCAACGTCAGCCTACATCCCACGATAGAGCGTAGCCTACGTCCCGTGGTTTCAGAATTGTTAACATTTTCCGGTGCGCCCTTAAAAGCCATCTTGCTGCAGAAAAGCAACGCTGCTCTCATTGTCGCTCATCACTGCTGACAGCTAAAGTAATTTCATGCCCTATCTGAAGTCCGAAAAAACCATAATATATGCAGAGTCGCCGGCCGCTGGTAAAACACAACATGTAGCTCGCCGCTCACACGACGCGCAATATGGACAGCTCTTCGCAAAGACAATACCACTGGACACCCGTGTAACATAGACTAGTGAGTGTGACATGTCACCAAGCATGAATGAAATACAAACCACGATTTCTGGAGCGGAAAACAAGTTCAAAGTAAATGAATTAAATTAAATAAAGCTGTGTTGGATATTGCTCCCTCCAGGACTAAGAACGCAAAAACTATGAAGGAAACGATTTTCTAATGAGTAGCGGTTGATCTGATCACAGGAGCATGATTTAGTGGCAGTGGAGAAATGTCGTTTTCGCCTTGGTGGTCAGAACTGCTGAAATGGAGGGAGACAGGTTTGAGAGCCTTATTGCGAATGTCTGCAATCTTTCTACCGTTTCCCTAGTATATGCCTTTTTATGTCTTTTACAGACATTTTGTTTAAAAAATATTACAACCAGTTCGACTGCAGTCACCCCCTATTACGCCAACGTTATTTTAAAGACCAATCAATGTTGTGCTCAGTCACAGTTCACACAGGCATCCTGGTATCAGTGGAAGTGTGAGTTCAGGACGTAGTACCCGGTGGAGACAGTTACACCCCCGCCCTCTCAAAAACCTTGTGGTGAGTACGAGTTCCCAGTTACCGGTGCCCATGATAAGAACATGTTACGGTATGGCCAGCATCACGCTGCCCCCCCCCCCACTCCCCCTGCCTCTGCTTTTCAAGTCTTTTCCCTAGTACCCATTATAGGCTGGTCGACCTGCAGGCGAAGGGCGATTATTGGACAACAAATTCACTTCCATATGGATTCGAGCCCAAATTGCCTATTATCAACCGTGGCTGAATAAGTGTGTGGCGTCTTTTAGCCGGAGGGCTTAGAGTCCTGTCACCCGTTTTATGACAAGTTATGCGCATTGGACTTTGCAGATAACGTTTTTTTTTAAAAAAAAAAGGGGGGGGGGGGGGTCCCCACACTTTTACCGAAGATTCGAACCCGGTCTTCTACATTGTTCGACCATGCAAATATCCGCCTTACTGTAACTCTATGTAAAATGCAATCTTCTTCTTCTTTTGGTACGCTTGAAATAGATTATCTATATCTGTAATGTCTGTGGCTGAGGCATTGCGAACTCGCTTCGTAATGCCAGGGTGCTGGGTTCGATCCCAGCTCTGGGCCTTGCGGTGGTTTGAACTGGTAACGAGAAGCCCAGAAGCAATGGCAAACTACTGGACGTGAATCTCTCTAGAAACACCAAAACAGGAAAAACTGCTGTGGTTGGTTCTGCAACGTCATGTAAAGGATACGCAACTATTTTTTTTTTTTTTTTGGTATCTGCAAGGTTGTTTCTAGTATGAACTTCACTGTGAACGTTTGGAGCTTGTGTTTGCTTTTTAACTGCTAGGACTGGATATTTGCAGAACATCGGTGCCAACATTGTTTTGAGCCGGTGGCGGATGGATATTTATTTATCTTTTTCTATAAATGGTTCGCATTACAGCTGCTATATGTTGCTTATATTGTTTTGAAAATAATTCTATTATCTTATCTTTCATTTCCATTATTATTGCAATTAAATTAATTCTCGGTAGGTTTCAAGCAGCGATACGTAGATAGTGTCTTCATAATCTTCATCGTTTGTTTGACTTTCACACACGAGGTGGACCGTACGTATGTGTAATCTGTTCTCTCCTCCTAATGGCTAATGGTGACTGGTGGCAGACGGAGATGTTTCCTTTGTGTGTGTGTTAAACTTGTTTTGAATATTATTGGTATTCGGAAGAGTTCCTGAATGTTGAATGGGCATTGAATGTTGCATTATTAAGAATCGCCACATCACACACAGGCACTCGGGACTGGCACTCCCAAAGCCTTCGTCCCCATCTTCAGCAGCAAGTCAAGCGAAAAGTTATAATTCCGACTGTACAAGTCCATCTCGCCCTTCTCTTGAACGTTGAGCGTCAGCCAGATCTCCTGTTAACTTCCTGCAGCGCCATTCTCCTCAGATCATAATGATTTATTTGTGCCTCTACCCTGTTCACTTGCTCCCAAAAGACCCTCACACTCACCAGAGCATATAGCTTGTCATACAATGATACATCAGTTCACCACCAATTGGTGCAAAACCAGCCAGTCTATCCTGCCTGCTCATTTCCTAACACCAACATAACCTGGACAACAAATCCAAAGGACGCTAACTACCCAGGACCAGGACCTCTATGTGAAGCTTGCCACTGCATGGAGCATGCCTGTCTCCACCTTTCTCAACATGCTCTTTGAAAAATTGAACTTTGAGTCAGTTACAATCATGGCATGTGTGTTATGCAGAGTTTAGCTGATTCTCAAGCCAGCGGAAGGCAGCAGTGACTGCCTCCACCTCTATTCTCAAACTTGACATTGTGATTTTATCATATGCCAGACTTTGTTTTACTAAGCGACATCCATTTGCCTTTGCTATGAACCCTCATGCACTTCATCTGCCCCAATCGAAGTTGAGTATTGACATGACAATCTGGGCCTACCTAAAACCACACTGTCCTGGCAGAAACGGGACTTATAGTCAGCCTATAATAAAACCAGCGCATCTAGATACATATTAAAAATATCAAGTTTTTTTCTTTCGAAATTAGGCTTAAAGAAGAAAAGATAAATAGCTGTTAAAACCTGATTCTCAGAAACAAGAAGTTTCTGAGAAGTGTCTAACTCTTTTAGTCAAAAGGAAAGCATCATACCTCCACAGGTTCCTACGCAGATGCCCAGTGAACGCAAGATGTGCACATTTTACATCCCCTTGGGCCCCTGATTCTAAACCCCCTGGGACTGAAAGAGTTAAAACTGTTGTGGCTTATTAAATACTAAACAGCACATACATTTCAAATGTTTTGTTTCATTTCTCCAGCTAAACTAATTGTTAAGGTGACTACTGTATCAGGAAAAGATATAAAACTGAACGAAAAGTATATCAGCGAGATATCCTACTACTGTAGGTTTATCATTGTAGCTGCAGTTACTAAAAAGATAGGCTTAACTATACACATTTTCTGTTTTGAATTAGGTGTTGTTTATTGCTGTTTAAACAAGAATATTAAACTGATCAATGAGACAGCTGACAGCTCGTTTGGCTAACTTCTGGAAAAACAGTGCCAAAACTTTGTGCTGGGAAGTTCAAGATGGCAGGTCTGTTCTAAAATTGAACACTGACCTTGTTACCAGACTAAGGTAAACTTATTGAGTGTCCTTGGCATTTGTTTATGTGCATCTAAAAGTAACATTGTGTACTCTTTATCCTTGCTGCTAGCTTTCTTTTATTCTAGTGTAATGATTCTCAAACTGCGCTGCGGCGCCCCGGAGAGCCGTGACCTCCTCACAGAGGCGCCGCGAAATATTCGAAGATACACAAGTTTTTTTTTTTTTTTTAAATCTCTTACATTTGAATAGTCATTCTTTTACTTAGGTTAGGGCGACGTGGAACAATTTTAATTGAAAAAAGGTGCTGCGACTAAGAAAGGTTTAGGAAACACTGTTCTAGTGCTTTTATTACTCATCATTATCAAGTACCTGGCATGTATGATTGGGTTTCTCCACATCTTGCAATCTTCAACAGCATTTATCAGTTCATGTGTTGACATCCATCTCCATCCCTTGACAGAAGGCTGTCAAGAATCTTCTCTTGTTCTCTTCGCCTATGTCTTTCCATTAATCTGTCCACCTGTATTGTGACTTATCATCATCATGTGTCATGCCAATAAACATAGTCTGTTATAGCCTGCCATCTCACATGTACACCAGAATCATTGATCAAGTCACTGTACATGACCCACCCTCACACTATTTGGCCACGCCATCTAGTATTTCATCATTGTGAATGTCTATTCAGTTTACTATTTGTTAAATTCAATTTTATTTTAATGTGACTGTATTGGTGTATTTTATTTTACTGAATTACAGCCAGTATGCTTATTGTTAGTAACTCAACTTTTGAAACATTCACTGCGGGGAGGGGAGCAGGTATAGGTATGCTCAGTGCGCTATAACCTATCTGTCTTAGCAGACTTTAAAATCATAGAGGACTCAGGAACAGTAACTTGAAGCTTCAAGATTGTGAAAAATTTGGAGAGGGAAAAGAACCTTCCGATTTCCAGGCTATAATTGGGACATCCTAATGAATACAGAGAGAGTTAAATCGTGTCTTCTTGTCAGTAATAAGACAGTGGTGTATGTTGATACACACAGTAGCAGTTGTACTGTAGGTCAATAAAGATGGAATAGCATAAAGGACACCCTTAGAGAAATGAACACCAACTTATACAACATATTAGAAAGAGCACATAGAAGATCTTTCAGTCTTCCTGCAACACTTCAATCACATAAATGGAAGAAGAGAAGAAGCAGAAGACTCACTGGTAACCATTTCTCTAATGTGTATTTGATATTCCTCATTGGCAGCCAAGGCAGTGGTGAGTGTGACTAGCAAGATTTGTCCATGCTAGTAAGACTCAACTGCAGTTAGAAATGTTTTCCATAATTATGCATGGAATTTTAAGACCTGTGTTGTCATTGTTATTTTTGTTATTAAGTAAAAAAAAAAGTGACATTGTAATTTATTTGTAAATGGTTCACAGAGCATGTTGTGAAAGGTGGAGACAGGCAGGCTGTGCGCAGAGTGGCAGTGATCGCTTCTGAGATCCCGGGTAGTTACTGTCCTTTCGATATTTTCTCCAGGTTATGCTGGCGTGTTGGGAAACGAGCTGGCAGATAGACTGGCTGGTTCTACACCACTTAGTGGTGAATTGATGTGTGGCAAACTAGATGTTGTGAGGGGCCTTTGGGAGTGAGTTAACAGTGGATAGGTGCAAATAGATCATTTTGGTCTGAGGAGAATGGCGCTGCTTGGAGTTACCAGGGGATCTGGTTGACGCTTAACACTCAAGGGAAGGGGGAGATGGATGTACAGTCAGACAGTTACTGGTGCCATCAGAACTGGAACTCTTCACTGCCAAAGGTGGGGACAGAGTGCTTTTGGGAATGTCCTGAGTGCTGTGATGTCTGTTCTTGATTCAACATTCAGAAGTGTTGTCTTTGTATGTATCTAATGTGCTTTGTCTCAGATGCTAAGCCGTTAACATGTCTGCAATAAATTTCTTCTTTATTCCTATTTCATTTGTGATTTTTCTCTTCTGTGCTGTGAAGGCCATGGCATTTTCCCCCATGAAGCTACCTCAGTACCCATATCATTCAATTCCTGCCTGCACACATCTTTAGTTTGTAGTAGAGGGTGACCTCGACATCCCTGCCCATCTGTAATTCACCACAGAGAATGTCCTTGACTGATGTATCCTAACTTTTCTTACAACTGCATTATCAAAGTTGGAATAATACTTTACTAATAATATTATCTTGTCATTTTGCAGAAATGTATTAAGAAGTCTGCAAAGAGTAAAAATGGATATCAAGCAAGGGCCGGTTTCATCAAAATTGGCACCTCCAGAGAGTGTTAAAGGTTTGTAATAATTTAATAGAGTGAGTAACACAAACAACTTTTAAAAAAAGCCTAGAGAAAACAGCATGTGGAACTAAAGACAACTATTGATTTTGTTTGAAAGTATTTGTGCAGATGCCCGAGTAATTATGTAGAAAAAGATAAACATGGTTGCTGATGTCCAATGATGCAGGTAAAACTGTGACTTGGAAATGAGCTATTGAGATAGTTGAATTTATGAGATAAGTTTATGAGGATCAGCGTTCATTCACTTCAACAATCACTTTCCGAAAATGTTAGCCCTACATGCCCAGTAGGCATGGAAAAGGGTGCTTCATTTACAAATTTTTTTTAATCACAATCGTCACTACACATTGGGCATTCCCATGCGGGCTCAGTCCTCAAATGCAGCAGTACATTATCCCATAAGAAGTTGGTTATAGTGTTTCCTGTCTTGACTTCAAAGACTACAAAAACCAAGCTTTATTGCAAGGTCATGCAATCGTGTTAGCTTCAGTGATTCAGCATTATCCCCCAACCTAGCCCATACAACATCGACAGTATCAGCTTTGTCCATGCTTCTTCCCGCTTGCATTGGTGTAGTACTTGCCAGCTGGTCAGCTCTTTCGTTACCTTTCACTCCTGCATACCCAAGTGTGTAGATCCAGATGTTTGAGGTTAACTGCAGCTTCTCAATGCTTTCTAACCATTCAAAGCGTGAACTACCTGTTGCAATTTTCTGAAGCATGTTCATGGAGTCTGAAATGATTACCCCATGTGTGGCCACTTGTTCTGCTACCTAAAGATTATGTTGTTTACACCTGGTACAGTAACATACGGCAGGTAATAGATTGGGCTGGATGGAATTAATACTGAAGGGATCCAAGCCTGCGGAGAAGTGGGGGTTAAATGGCTTACTATAATGTTTAATATAGCTTGGGAAGAAAGAAAGGTCCCAGCTGAGTGGCAACAGGCATAAATAGTACCTATATGGAAAAAGAAAGGTAATAGGAGAGAATGTGAAGCATACAGAGGTATATCACTACTGAGTCACGTAGGAAAAATGTAGGCCAAATTTCTAGAACAGAGAGTTAGACCCATAGCAGAACAACAGCTGAGTGCATCACAATTCGGTTTCAGAAAAGGCAGAGGATACACAGATGCATTATTCACTCTGAGGCAAGTGTGTGAGAAAGCCATTGAGTATAATACCAAACAGAATATTGTGTTTATAGATCAGGAACAAGCTTTTGATAGAGTGGAAAGAAACAAACTGTGGTCTATCCTTGAGAACTACGGGGTACAAGGACAGTTACTTGAGAACATCATAGCCATGTATCACACAAGCCAAAGTGCAGTAAAACACAAGAAGGCATATCAGATATGCTCACAGTCAACACAGGTGTGAGACAGGGATGTGTGCTCTCCCTACTTTTATTTAACATCTATATAGACAGAATATCTAAAGAAGCAAGTTATGATACAGACAACATAGACCTTTATAATCACGAGGAAGTACACACATCAGGAGAAGTAATCGATTCACCTACATTAAACGAACTACTGTTTGCTGATGACCAGTGCTTGTTCTACCCTGAAGAACATAGACTGCAAAACCACATTAACAGGTTAAACTCAGCATGTAGTAAATACAACATGAATGAAGATCAATGAAAACAAAACCGAAACAATGCAAGTTAATAGACATTCTGCCCCACTACACATACAGCTGAATGGTTCTGCCCTGAATCAAGTTAGAGAGTTTAAAAATCTAGGAAGAATGATCACAGAAGATGGTAGAATTGACAGAGAAATAGAAACCAGATGTCAGAAAGTGAGTGCACTTATATACCAATTGTCACCATTATTAAGACATCCAAGCATAACTATGAGTGCAAAGAGACAGATTATTAATAGCATATTTATTCCAATATTAAGCTACCAGTGCCAAACATGGACACTATCTAAAGCTCATATACGCAAAATTACCACCTGCGAGATGAGGTGCCTGAGAAAAGCAGCCAACCTAACCATACGAGATCGAGTGAATAATGAAACTATCAGACAAATTGTGGGAACAACACCTTGTACTAGATTCATAGAGAAACAGCTGATCAAGTGGTTTGGCCATCTCGTTAGAATGCAGCAAGATTAAATACCATCACAAGCACTACATCTCAGAGGATCAGCTACAAGAGCAAGAGGACGGCCGCGGAAAACATGGATCGACAACATTAAAGACACTCTACGCCTTCACGGCATGACAATAGCCAGTGGCAGCCAAAGTGCACTGGAACGCAAATTATTCCTCCCCACGACGCTTAACAGCAAAAGTGGCTTATGATGATGATGATGAATAAATTGGGCAATTTATTGTTTGTGTCCTTATTTTTAAATTCTTTGTAAACGTTTCTTCTTCTTCTTCTTTTTCTTCCTCATCTGCATTTGCCGGCTGTAAACTGCAGCAGAAAATCCTGGGCTCAGAGTTATACATGACTTGTTTCAAGACATTCATTTATTAGATCTGGCTTATTTCTTTGCAGATTGTTGTTTTCCTGCCTGTTGAGTAGATGTGTTTTGTCTTCAGAGGCAACACCAATCCTATGTCCATGTTATGTTATACTGTGTTATCAGTGTCACTGCACATTGGGCATTCCCATATGTGCTCAGTCCTCCGATGCAGCAGCCTCTACGAGGTATTTTACTAATTGTTCCCATGAGAATTTATTTATAATGTCTCCTATCTCGGCCTCGAAGGCGGCACAGACATGCTTTGCCATGCTTTGTTCCCAGATCATGCAGTAGTGTTAGTGTCAGCCAGGCCCCTAGTGGAAAACATGTTTATAGGGTGATCATAGATTAAATCATATAGATAGGTCTTTACCAGTTTAAGCCCTGGTCTTGGTGCACCACCACATCTGTTGAGACATCTCTGCATTGCCTTGTGTCTTTCCATTATGTTGGTGCACCACCACATCTGTTGAGACATCTCTGCATTGCCTTGTGTCTTTCCATTATGTTAACCCATTCAGTATTTATAAATTTATATGGTTTATTCTTTTCACACAGGAATGGTGCAGCTCAACCGAGATGCATTTACAAAAGTTGTTAAAGTACCTGCAGTAAGGATAGCAAAGTGTGACATTGGCAAGACTCAGAAGGCATTGAAACCTTTGTTTCTAAAACTGGCAAAACTGAAGCCCGTGGTTGAAATGAATGACAGCAGTTCTGAGAAGAGTCAGTGTCTGATACTTTTGGATCCAGATAAACTTCGGGATGACAATCTGTCTCAGGACAAGAAACTTCAGCTTCAGAACCTGGGCCTGGATATTGACAACCCAGAAATGTTTGAGGTTAGATTCTATTGCATATTTTACTTTCTTTAAAGAAATTGGCCAAGGAGAAGAATGGGTAAAGGTACTGGAGGACAAAGAAAAGATGCACAAAGTGGTAATTACCTTGGGATGAAAAGGCAGGAGATGGGTGGTGGTATGTGCAGATGCAGAGGTACAACAGCTGACAGAGGATAGCTCTAGGCCAGGAGATGTTATTATATATACTGATGGGTTAGTCATCAGGGGCAGAAAAGGTGGATGGGGCTTCATTGCAAAAGCATGGAGGAGAAGGATGACTGAGTAGAGCTGGGCTTATGCCATTACTACATTCAGCATGAGAATTGAGGTTGAGGTGGCAGCTACAGTGTTCCAGTGGGTGGAAAAAAATCTTTGCTACACGTGTTGTCCTAGTATTGGATTGGCAGAGCGTTCTCAGGAAGATGGAGTCAGTTTTTTCTTCTTCTTTGAAATGGGTTACATCAGTCCAGAGGTGAAACTGACATGGATATTTTGCTGAGGCAATTCAGATGTGTTTGGAATGGGCAGGCAGATAGGCTGGCTGGACTGGCCCCATTTGGGTGTGTACCGCAACTGCACAAGGCAGAGTTGATCTCTAATCTATGGGACAAAATAACAAGTGAAATAAAAGAGAACCTGTACCTGGAGAAACTGATTTAAATGAGGAGTGGCTGTGGGCGCCAATCGAAGCTCAGAGGGAAGGCAAGATAAGTAGTTGACCAGAAGACAACAGGTACCATCAGTACGGAAACTCCTTGCTGTCTGTTAAGGAGGGAGACAGAGCTAATATGGGCTTGTCCTGAATGATGTGATACTCAGATGAACCCAGATACTGTTACTATTTGTGCTATATATATTTACTGAAGCCCCTAAAGAAACAAAGGGAAGTAATCTTGTAACTGGCCATGAACGTTTGACTTTTTTTAGTACCAGCTTGTGATATTCAACTCCTTCTCTTCTACTTTAAAATAGCCAGTGTTTTGAGTCCTAATAAGTTTAAATAATTAAACTATGAGTAAAACTAACAATGTATGTGTAATGAATCCTCCTTCTTAGCATTCACTGGTTGTAAACTCTGGCAGAAAGTTCATTTCTATGCAGACTAATAGTTCCTTGCCTCTCAGGCAGATGGACTCCGACTTCAAAGGAAGCTCCCAGTTAGTTGACTCTTACGACATGCTTTTGGGTAGGCTGTGGGTCTGTTCGTTTTTCCCCCTTAATAGGGCCCTGGAACTCACACGGGGAGCATATCATCTAATTGAGGGTAACTGCCTGAGAGGCAAGGAACCAACAATCTGTTAAAGATGTGCATGCAATACTCAGATTTGGCACAAGATTAAAGTCCAGAGATTGAGGAACAACCAGAACTTTCCAACACAGTTTACTGCCAGTGAACATGAAGAAGAAGAATAAGAAGATTGGCAGGGATATCATGGTAAAATACTTATCGTAGTTCTTAAATATTTTCATTTTTTTCTTTACAGGTAGAACTTAGTTATAATAATTGGACTTTGTCTGATATCATGAGAGCTATCCTGCCTAGCGACCAAGATAGTGTGTCAACTTTCACACAGATTGGACACATAGCTCATTTAAACTTGAAAGAAGAGACCCTCCCTTATAAACATCTTATAGGTGAGTTTGCAGCTACTTTTGTATTTGTTCTTTGTTTTATTGACCTGTAGGTGTGGTCCTCCCCTCCCCCTTGCCCCCATTGATGTCATGGAATCCACATGAGGAAGTTCTTACTATCATGTCTTTTTTCTTTTCACTTTCAAACAGGGGAGATTATTATTGATAAAATTCCATCGGTGAAGACTGTGGTGAACAAAATTGGTGCTATTGACAACACCTTCAGGGTTTTTCAGATGGATCTGCTGGCTGGGGAGGAGAACTACATCACTCAGATTAGAGAGCATGGCTGTGCGTTTGAATTAGACTTCTCCAAAGTTTACTGGAACTCTCGGCTAGGTAGGTTTTATATTAATTAGTAGCTGTACCCGGCCACGCGTTGCTGTGGCATAGTGTGGCTAAATGGAAAAGAAAGAAAATACAAATCGCACATGTCTAATATGGTTACTGTCGCAATCATTGTCTGCGCCCATACTGAGATAGTCTTTGATGCCCTCCCCACCTCCCTTTCCCAAATTCACTTACTACTCGCTCCCTCATCAAAGGCTTTTGGAAAAGAAAGACAATAGAAATCATTGTCTGCGCCCATACTGAGATAGTCTTCGATGCCCTCCCCACCTCCCCTTCCCAAATTCACTTACTACTTGCTCCCTCATCAAAGGCTTTTGGAAAAGAAAGACAATAGAAATCACACATGTCTAATATAGTTAATGTCGCAATCATTCTCTGCACGGATATAGAGATAGTCTGGTTTGCCACTTTAGAACACGCAACATATAATTGCGTCTTTATATTAGTGGTCGTTTAAATGGTATTATTAGCACAGTAAAAAAATGGTTATTTGGTTATCACATGCCAAAGCTGTTTGTATTTTTTTGTAAGAGACAGAGGTAAAGCTTACTACTGTACTTGTAAATAACTAAGTAAGTCGTTAAAAAAATGAGAATAGCAGAGGTAGCGTTAGTGATATATAAACAAATTAGGAAATGAAAACTTAAAAAAATCATGCTTTAAGCTCTTTAAGTTAACAATTTCTGCCATCACCCCCTCCCCTCCCCCATCCACCGAATACTGCTCTCTCCCTCATGGAAGGATTTAAAAGTCATCACCCGGCGATATTTTTTGTAACTGACATTGATACCCCTGTCCATCTGGACTAAAATAGGGAGCAGGAATTGTAATGAGTAGTAAATTCAGCTAGTGTAATATTTACCACACTATCCTTCAAGTACCAGTCACCTACCGCCACCACGATGACTAAAATAATGTCACGTGAGCCAGAGGATTGGCGCCGCAAGGCTAGTGCTATCGCAACGGACTGGTCAGGTTAGGATGTGTAATTTTGCTCCCCGACAGAAAAATGCCATCACCTTACTGGCTGTCTCCGGCATGACAGCACTACGGTGTAACCGCCCTCTCAGTTACCAGTTTATGCTACCCCCATCCCCCCCCCCCCCCCTTTCCCTAATTTACTGATTACCCTTTCCTTCATCGAAGTAGTTTGGAGAAAAAAAAACAAGTGAAATGAAACGAAAACAGGAAAAATACACCACAATTACGAAATGAACGCTATGATAAACAACACAGCCTAATTCCAACGCAATGTCAGAATAAATAATTAAATCGAAATGAAAAAAAATGGAAATCTATGAAAATTCAGCGTAACCATACAATCGGAAAGTTTGAAATGAAATCATAAGTATGCAAAATGGTCAAATTTAATTATCAACTGATTTACCCACACACCTGTATTTTTTTAAAAAGTATTTATGGCCACATGGCTAGTGCTGTCGCCACGACAGAGAAGGTCTGGGTTTTAGTTTGCCCCCAGGTTTTAAAAAAAAACAACTGCCGTACTGGGGATTTAAACCCTTTTTCCTGCACGGGAGCCCAGTGTACTAACCATTCGGCCAGCCAACCACTGCTTCTGTACAACGAAAAGAGAACAAAACTACGCAAGGTGTGTCTCCCGATTTTAACACAACTCAAAACCACAGGCAATTGTTTTCTCATAAACAGAAATCCCAGATATAAACTTTAAGTATTATTGAAACGGCACAATAATAGAAATCGTACGTGTCTAACATGGTAAATGTCGCAGTCATTGTCTGCACAGACGTAGATTGCCCCCCCCCCCTTTCTTCCCCTTTCTCAAATCCACCGACTACTCTCTAACTCATCGAAGGTTGTTTGAAAAGAAAAAATGTGTGTCTAATAGGGCTAACGTCGCAATCAGCGATATAGAGATAGTCTGGTTTGCTGTACGGGCAGATTTTAAAAATAGAGCCTCCTGTGTCTACTGTGCATGCACTGTTAAAGTCGAACGCGCATGCGCATTTACTAACGTGGCTATAATTAAATGTCACTAAAAATGGAAATATTAGTTTCGAAGATTTTTCCAACAAATGTGGTCAACTATCTCTAATAATGACATGTAGAATTTCAAACCATGATGGTTAAACATCCGGTATCAAAGCAAACATATCCTGAATATTTCAGCTAAATCGGTTCAGTAGTTTCCGAGTCTATAGCTCATAAACAAACACACAAACATTGATTTTCATATATATAGATAACATTGAACTTATACAGTACCAGACAGTGCAGCATGCATGCGATGGTTAATTCTTACTTGGTATGCTTACTTTGGGAGTCACTGTGGTGAGCAGCTAGATGCTCGCCTGTGGATTGAAAGATTATGGGTTCGGGGCCTCACAAGGCCACACTTTTTTCATAAAATTACCTTGGCTCCCAGCCTTGAGTGGGTACTGGGTGCAATCCTTGGAAAAGTCAAGGTGGCCGGCGTGATGCTGAACACATCTCTCACCAAGTTCTCATTGATTTATAAAATATAGGTCTAGCCCTATATGCCCAGACCACCTATAGGCATTTAAAAAGGGTCTTTTACTTTGCTTTTATGCTTGCTTTATCTCTTTTTGCCATGTTTCACTGTTTTTTAATCCATTTAATCCTAATGTTTACCTAATCTTGGCTTGATAAGGTGGGGCATCACAGACCAAAAATATTTATAATTGATGGTGAAGCACGTCTGTTCTGGTTTCAAGGCTGAGATAAGAAACATTATAACCAGCTCCTCTTTGGAACAGTCAGAGATACCTTGTAGTGACTGCTGCATCATAGAACAACTGCACAAGCTTGGGAAGGCTCAGTGTGCATTGATATAAATTGTGATAACATCTCAGTGTGTGGCAGTAACTGAGGCAGTAAGTCATGCCTGATTATAGCTTCCCCATTTATAACTGACTACTGGACAAAATAGATGACAAGCTGTTGAGTGCGAGCAAGTTTAATGTGCAGACATTGTCTTGATTACAGAATTCTGTAGTGTTCTGACTGACTGCAGATACAGAAAATTCTTAGCTAATCATATCATTGGAGTCTCAAGGCTTAATGTTTAGTGTTGTATTAGCTTTTTTTCTTTTTGAATGTACACAATCCTTTTAAAAACCACTACCAAAGTGCCTTTAGAATATTGATTTATTTAATATCATCAGAATATAAGCCAAGAAGAGTTCGGTTGTCTGGCTTAATTTTCCCCCTTATTGTTCTCATTATAATTCTCTCAATATTTTATCTATATGGCTCACTAAACTAATTGTCCTATGTTTTCCACAATCCACATGTTTGACTTTGCTGCTCTAAAGCCACATGAAAGCCGCCTTTACACCTCCGCCTCTATTCTCATACTTGATGTTGTGGTGTTATAGGCGAGACTCAAGCAGTGTCTATCAACCTTTTGAAATAAAACCCTGCCATCTCTATCTACCCCTCATCACAGACCAGTCTGTGTATATAATAATTTTTCCTGCATATGAATTTATCAGCTCTTGCATTGATGTCTTTATTTCACCAGCTATCCACTCCCTGCACCCTCGGTCCAACGTAATCATCACTTTGTGCATCTCTGTTTTGCTGGGCGGCACTGTAACCCATTTCTCTTCTTCTACCTTTCTAACCCCCAATAAAGCATAAGCCCTTAACCAACTCACTCCAAGTCGTTCTATCCTTCGCTATCGCATGCAGCTCTTCCATGTTCTCCCCATCTTTCAAACTTCACTCTGTAGCTCCCTTCTCCGTGTGTTTTTTAACCCATTTCTCACCGCGTGTTATCTTGTCAGTAGCACAAATGGTTCTGATTGTCTTCTTTTTCTTCTTTGTGTTCACCAGCTGTACACTCTAGCGTAAAGTTCTGGTTGTTCGTCTACTTCTGGACTGCAGTCATGCTCCAGAACCTGAGTGTTGCATGTGCATCAGTTTTACAGATCTGATTCAATTGAATGCAGACTGCTGGTTCCTTGCCTCTCAGGCAGATGCACTCCGACTTCAAAGGAAGCTCCCCAGTTAGTCGACTCTTACGACATGCTTTTGGGGAGGCAGTGGGTCTATTCTTGTTTTCCCCACAATAGGGCCCCGGAACCCACACGGGGGGACCAGGTTCTGATTGTGACTTTTGCCTGTGCCATCAAGGAGCTACCTCTTTTCAGCCAATGTCCCTTGCTTTTCTCTAAGGCGTCATGTAGATGTTCCCTGTCCATTGTGACTTTAAGCTACATTTTTGCCTGTAACACCTTGTATCTTTCATATAGGACGGCAATGCAAGTTTGCTGCATACACACAATTCAAGTGTCCCATCTACATCCCAAAATGACTTTCATGGCTTCGTTTTGTTTACGTTCCTGCTTCTGAGTTTGGCTGTTAGAAAACATGAGCAGGCCTAAATCAAACTCCATCACTAAAATAACCAGTTGCTCATAGAGTGTTTAGAGCATTCTCTGTTCCATGTCCAATGATGCCATGGTGCAGGCTCAAAAGTTGTACGGAGATATTATTAATGAATTTTCTCTTTATGTTACTATCATTTATTATGATGTTCAGAACCTTGTTTATGAAAATTCTATTATTTAGTGAACACCACAATAATGCTGCCTTATCTGGATTGATAGTAAAGCCTGTTTTTATCACACCACTCCCTGACATTGTCAACCAATGATTTCTCCCCCGTCTCTAGACTAAAACATCGTCAGCTCAAATCAAAATTCTCCCAATACCCAGTGCCTGTGTAGCCACAATCCTGCTTGTGTACACATTGAAAAGCCTAGGGGAATTGGCGGACCCTGTGGGAGGCCAGGTGCGATACTACAGGGTTCAGAGCTCCACAAACCTAGGTGAAATGAAGTCTGACATTCATATATGAGTCCAGAAATGGATGAAAAACCAGAAGTTTCTGCCAGTTTGTGCAAGTTAGTGTGAAAGTATAAAATATTTCATGAAATATGTTAATGAGTTCACTTATACTACAGGGTTCAGAGCATCTCAAACCCAGGTGAAAAGAAGTCTGACATTCATAATAAAAGTCCAGAAATGGATGAATAACCAGAAGTTTCTGCCAGAGTTTGTGCAAGTGTGTGTGAAAGTATAGAACTACTTCATGACATATATTAATGTGTTCACTTATCTTCTAAATATGTTCAACAGGCACAGAGCATGCAAAACTGACTGACCTCATTGAGAAAGGTTCAGTTGTTTATGATGTCTTTGCTGGGATTGGTCCTTTTGCTGTTCCTCTTGCCAAGAAGAAACTTTGCACCGTTTTTGCTAATGACCTCAACCCTTCATCCTTTGAATACTTGAAAAAAAATATGGATCTGAATAAGTTAGCAAACAGGACCATAAAAGCCTATAATCTGGATGGCCGTGAATTTATTAAGTCTGTGGTGAAAAGCCACATTATTGACAGGATTAGAAGTGCTGTTGCAGAAGCTAACAAAGCATTATCACCAGAAGCTAATGGTGTGAGCTCAGAACTTGAAGAATCAGATATACCTGTACAAGCAAGTATAGAAACAACTCGGACCACAGCTGAAAAACAGGCCATTCCTCATTCCTACATAATCATGAATTTACCAGCTCTGGCTGTGGAGTTTCTAGATTCTTTTACATCACTTCTGCAAGATATGCCAGCAGACTTGAAAGTGCCAGACATGCTGGAGCCATTTTTACCCCATGTTTTCTGTTACACATTTTCGCCTAAGAATTATTTGACCGAGGATTTTCAATCGCGGGTGGAAATGATTTTGGGACAGCCACTGCCAGATCCGTTAGGTGTGCGACTGGTGAGAAATGTGGCTCCTAACAAAGAGATGGTATGTCTTTCATTTAAACTGTGGCCTAATCTTGTTCTTGGCTTGTCTGAGGAGAAGGAACACGTGGACATACAGGAGGATGTTGTGGACGCTGATGTATGTAAGTATTTTCTTTTTAACATTGTCTTCTTCCATTTGCTCTTCATTTTTGGTCGTTATGGGGCATAAGACCAACTAAATTGTTCAGTTAAAAGCTGATTGTCTTTTAACTAAATAAAAAATAGAAAAGATGAACTTTATTTACATGGGGTTGATCCCTTCTGGCTCGACCTCTCCCTGCAGATAAAGGTTAAATTTGAGAGAATCGATTTAACTGCACCTGGTTTTATCCCAAATGGCTCAGTCTGTCTTAGCCTGTCTCAGCAGAATGGCTAGATGCCTGTCGAGAGCGCCACACAGAGCACGAACCCCGTAGCACTGGTGACGATTCCCAGGGATCTCTGTAAAAACTGCATTTGTGAACTGAACGTGGGTACCGTGAAACAAGCTCACAACCTTCAGAGTGCGAGGCAAACAGCTTTACTACTTTGTAGTGATAGTGAATCCTTTGCTGGCTTACTAAGTGTGTTGGAGACTCACCAGAGCTCCATTGGCTAGGACATTTCAGGGTGTCCCAGGGATGTCCTTTTGTGGCTACCACAGTGGCCCTGTTGCCCAAGGCTACCTACCATACTGAATCTTGTTGCAGCGATCCCCTCCTTTGTCCAGTTGACCTTGTCTCATGACTTAGACATGGAGATGGGGTTAAGCTTTAAGAGGGAAAGCATTGCATTGATTAAATATTAATGATGAAGACATGTTAGGACAGTAACTGTTCCTGTGGTGTTGAACTGCACAGGGAATGTAGAGAATGAGTGGTAGTGTTGTAATTCATGTTATATTACTATTTTCTTCAGAAATTGTGACATTAAGTTTGTTTCAACAAGTTTTATTTAAAAGTATGTCATTAAAAATAATTAATGGGCTTGCTGTTCTCCTTCTAGAATGTCCTTCACTAATCTTCTTCTAGAATCTCTTACATTTGTGTACACCAGCTAAAACTTCTACATGTATGTTGAATAATTACCAGTGCAGCTTGGCTGCAGCAAATCACCAGTTTAATAAGAATGGCACTGGACCCACAAAAGTAGATCATTTAATGATCTTTAGACTGTCCATGTCATGTGGGATTGTTATTCATGTCTGTCTGTGACTTTCTGTCTGGTATATTGTCAATCGTTAGGACTTCCCATGTGAGTTCTGGGTCCTCTTGGGGAAGAACAGATGTCTAGAATCCCTGCCTTTCTAAAAAGGGTCTGCATGTGAATAAGCCAGATCTTATCAAATGGATGTGTATGCAAAGACGTAAAATATATGTGTATGTGAAACCCAAGTTATGGAACAAGCTCTGTTGGACATTAAGGCTGCACGGAGTAAGAGAACCCATTAAACAGATGAGAGAGTTCAGGTAAGTTGTTTTCTGAAATATATCAGAAATATTACCTTATGCTGTATTCTTGATTCCTTTTCCATTATTGATTCCAAAATTCTACTTGCTTTCGTGTCTTTGCAGGCAAGGAACCAGAAAGTAAGAAACTGAAGCTGTGACCTTGGGTGGTGGTTATATCTCTTTGGTCAAGATTTCTGTTTGGTATAAGCGTGAAGAGCTTGTTGTTATTATTCACCATTGGTTTGCTAGTGATTTTTTGAGGATGTGCCGCATGGTTGTGAGACAGGTCACTGTTTAGAAATGGTAAGGCAAACATATAATCAAACTACTACTGGTACCACCAGTACTCTTAGCTGACTGCTGAAGATGGGGATGGAGCACTTATGCTGATGATATATCTAGTGAGGTTATGTCAGTTCTTGAGTTCAGATCAGCAAGTAACTAAAGATTTTTAACATGGTTAACTAGTCTGTGGGGACAGATAACATTTGAGAAACTATTCATCAGTAAAAGAGTAAAAACCAGAACCCTTTATTCAGTTAATTTGTTACCCTTTATTCAGTTAATCAGTTAGTCGACAGATTATCCTCATTGCACATTGAATCATTCAGTCCATAATTGCTCGGATACCCTCCTTAGTAAAACCTGCAGCGTGTAGCGGCTCACAACACCAGTTCTGTGTTGCTTTCTTATTCTTCTTTGGCTTCCTGCATAGTGCTCTTGTCTGGCCACACCCCTTTTTACCTGTTGTTCTTGCAGTCTGGTCATTGTTGTAGATTCACAGTCATCACTTGATTCTCGCGAACTTCTTACTTCCCATAGATTTTTCAGAATATAAGCATGGTCCATGGCTTGTCCGCCCTTCACAGTAGCTTTACCTGCAAGCCAATCAGCTTGCTCATCTCCTTACACACCTGCATGCCCTGGCACAAATATGAAACTGACATGTGTCAGCCCTGCCCACTTTAGAGACTCCAGCCACCAGAACCATATACTTCCCGCAACCCACATAGCTGTATATGAGGAACTAAAAGATAAGAACAGTTCTACATCAATTCTTAAAAGCATGCACAATTAATTTCGTCCTTTGTCATTTGAGTTTTGTGGCTATATGACTGTAAGAGAATTGTTTTTATTAATTTTTTTTATTTATGTTGCTGAGAAGTTTAATGGTGTGTTCCAACTGATGTACTAAAATTATTGTATTTTTAAACAATTATTGAAAGTGCTTTCCTTCATCAGTCTTTTTGTTATCTTATTAACCAATAAACACATTCGGGCATTTTCTTATTTGTTGCATCAATAGATTGTGTGAAAGTAACCAACAAAACACTACAAAATGTGAAGAATGATGTTAAAAGATGAGCAACTATTGTCAGTAAAAATAGAGATGACCATGTTGTCAGTGAAATCCAGATCTTTGAGCTGGTCTGTCTCTTTTCTAGGCTGCTTCCAGCTCATACTTATTTGTTATAGAGATGCTGCTGCTTTGTGTAGAACGAAAAGGACAATTCGATCACGATCCGACTTTTCAGCACCTCATGGCTGATATCTATATTTACCATCTTTATTGTGTAGGACTGGTTCAGATTTGGTTTCTTTTGGTTCCATTTTGACTTGTTGTCATTAGATGTTTTAATTGATATTGATTCTTCCTTCTGTAGCATTGTTTAACTCTTTGAGTCCCACAGACCCAAGAAGTAGTCCAGAGAGATGTAAAATTGACGCAATATGTGTTTATTGGGCTTCTAGGCAGTAACGTATGATGTGTTTCTTGAGACTCAAAGAGTTAAACATTTTGGTCTTGGTGTCTAAGAAGGCAGGAATCTTCTATTCCTTCTTGTTATGTGGTTTGGTTTTGTTCCCGACTATGTCAGGACACATCTGGAGGTAATTATTTAGTTGTCGTTTTTCGGTTCCATCTTGCCGCGGTCATTTCCAGGTTACTGATTAGTTTGATTCTTTTTTCTATTGTCCTTGTCGCCCTTTCCACTCTCTCTTGATACTATCTAGGTTTCAGGAATACAGTGGTGGTTAGTCCTTACAAGGACTTTTGAGTAATCTTGTCTTTCCTTCTTTCCTGTTGTTTCTATTACTCTTCTGTGTTGCTTATGGAGAGGTGCGGGAATTACAGCAATTAAGGCTCTGGTGAAATTTCCTCCTCTTGATAGCTCAAAGCCAGGGCAGTATTGTAAAGACTGTGTTGCTCATGCAGAATAATTCTTTTCTGGATCTGCCTTGTTTACTTCAAGGGAAAGGTATCACCAATACATTTAATGTGAAGCATGTTACTATAAAGCGGCGTCAATGGCTTGGGTGTTGCGAGTCCGACTCATAATTCCAATGTACCGCGATAGAAACCCACTGCTGGCTGCATGGATTTTTATCGTGGTATGGGGCGTCGCAGGTCAACCCAGCCTAAAATGGGTACCAGGATGGCTGTTCTGGGGAAGTAAAGGCGGCCGGCAAAATGCTTACCACATTACCTACAAAGTGCCGATGGCCTGTAAAAATATGGGCTATCTTCCCATATACCCAATGCGCCTAAAGGCATGAAAAGGGATCTTCACTTTACTTTACTTTACTTATGTTACCAGAATCATGGATCAGGTTAGTGTACTTGTCTCACCCCATCATTGCGACCATGCCATCCAGGTATTTATCTCTTTGCCTTCCTGTTGCCCTCCTTTCATCAATCTTGCAAGTCTTTACCAGGTTCTTGAATCAACTGCTTCTCAAAACATGTCTTAAAAGTCACTATCTACATTTTGATCTAAACTTTAAATGGTGGCACTTTAGGAGTAGCAAAGTTAAAGAAAGAACTAGGGCCAAGTAGATGAGTGTAACAATTTGATTATTCACAAGGAGTTCAGAAATATCGGTTCAGAATAATGCATGTACTGACCAGAAAGATTGAGGAAGCCAGACCTTAGAATGAGTAATTGCAGAACTCTCCTGGATGTGCAGTTACCTTCACATTTGTCCCAAGTGATGCAGTTGTTGTTGGCAATGAAAGAGCTGATAGACTGGCAGTTTATGCATTTGTTGCAGATGGTCAGATAAGGAATCACACAGGTAATGTTAATGCCCTTAGAGATACACTGCCAAATAGACTATGCCCTTAATGAAATGTTCACCCACCCACACAGGACTACAGGTTACTTCAGACTACAGGTTACTTCATGGTAGTGTCCCCTTTTAACTGCAGTATGGCTATAGGGTTGAATCCCATATAACTGCAATATGGCTATACTGTTCAATCCCCATATAACTGCTTTTTGGTTGAATATCCATATAACTTCAGTATGGCTATAGGTTGAATTCCCATATAACTGCAGTACGACTATACAGTTGAATCCCCATAAAACTGCAATATGACTATACAGTTGAACACCCATATAACTGTAGTATGGCTTTATGCTCGAATCCCTATTAAATGCAGTATAGCTATACTATTGAATCCCCATATAACTGCAATATAGCTATAGATTAAATCCCCATATAACTGCAATATGGCTCTACGGTTGAATCCTTATATAACTTCAGTATGGCTGTGGGGTTAAATCCCTACATAATTGCAATATGGCTATACAGTTGAATCCCCATATAACTGCAGTATGGCTATACGGTTGTACCCCTATATAACTGCAGTGTGGCTATACAGTTGAATCCCCATATAACTGCAGTATGGCTCTGTAGTTGAATCCCCATATAACTGCAGTATAGCTATACAGTTGAATCTCCATATAACTGCAGTATGGCTCTACAGTTGAATCCCCATATAACTGCAGTATGGATCTACGGTTGAATCCCCATATAACTGCATGATGGCTCTACGATTGAATCTCCATATAACTGCGGTATGGCTGTACTGTTGAATCCCCATATAACTGCAGTATGGCTATATGGTTGAATCCCCATATAACTGCAGTATGGCTATATGGTTGAATCCCCATATAACTGCAGTATGGGTATACTGTTGAAGCCCCATATAACTGCAGTATGGCTATATGGTTGAATCCCCATATAACTGCAATATGGCTCTACTGTTTAATCCTAAAAAAACTGCAGTATGTCTCTACAGTTGAGTCCTCATATAACTTCAATATGGCTGTAACGTTAAATTCCAATATAACTGCAGTATGGCTATACTATTGAATCCCCATATAACTGCAGTATGGCTCTGTGGTTGAATCCCCATATAACTGCAGTATGGCTATAAGTGTTGAATCCCCATATAACTGCAATATGGCTATAGGTTAGAATCCCCATATAACTGCAGTGTGGCTGTAGGGTTAAATCCCCATATAATTGCTATATTGTTAAATCCCAAAATAACTGCGATATGGCTCTACTATTTAATCCATAAATAACTGCAGTATGGCTCTACGGTTGAGTCCTCATATAACTTCAATACGGCTGTAACGTTAAATCCCCATATAACTGCATGATAGCTCTATGGTTGAATCCCCATATAACTGCAGTATGGCTATATGGTTGAATCCCCATATAACTGCAGTATGGCTCTGCTGCTGAGTCCTTGTATAATTTCAGTATTGCTGTAGGGTTAAATTCCCATATAACTGCAGTATGGCTTTACGATTGAATCCCCATATAACTGCAGGATGGCTCTACAATTGAATCTCAATATAACTGTGGTATGGCTATATGGTTGAATCCCCATATAACTGCAGTATGGCTATACATTTGAATCCCCATATAACTGCAGTAAGGCTATAATGTTGAATCCCCATATAACTACAGTATGGCTATATGGTTGAATCCCCATATAACTGCAGTATGGCTCTACAGTTGAATCCCCATATAACAGCAGAATGGCTATAAGTGTTGAATCCCCATATAACTGCAAAATGGCTATAGGTTGAATCCCCATATAACTGCAGTGTGGCTGTAGGGTTAAATCCCCATATAATTGCTATATGGTTGAATCCCCATATAACTGCAATATGGCTCTACTGTTTAATCCTCAAATAACTGCATGATGGCTCTACGGTTTAATCCCCATATAACTGCAGTATGGCTATATGGTTAAATCCCCATATAAATGCGGTATGGCTCTGCTGTTGAGTCCTTACATAACTTCAGTATGGCTGTAGGGTTAAATTCCCATATAACTGCAGTATGGCTCTACGGTTGA